CAGGCACTAAAGAGCAAAATCAAGTCAGCTCATAATCTTTTCTTTAGGTTGTGAGACTTTAATCCATTTCCTTTCATTTCCATGTGCCCAAAACTCTCAAAAGCAAAAAATAATTATTTCTATTCTCAAAGCATTATGCTAATTCTTTCACTTACATTTAAGCCACTATGAGATCTACAGCTATCTGCATCAATAGTCTTTCAAACAGCCCAAGTCTCTATCTTCTAGGATTATGGGAATAAAAAGAGCCATGCTGAGCATATTCTGCTTTCAGGGGGCAGGGTGGCTAATAGCAAGGATTTAGAATAGAAAAATGACTGTGTACAACCTGTTGATACTTATTACCAACAGTTCTCTGTTCCTTTTTGTTATACAGTCACCATTTTAGATACTATAAAACATATGGTAAATGGCATTAAGTATATTTGTGTTTTCCTATAACCATCACAACCATCCCTCAACAACTCTTTGGTCCTCCCAAATTTAATTTATGTACCATTTAAACACAGGCAAAAGCCTCATAAATTCACATAATCAAGCACCTTTACTATTTCTCCTTTAAGCCCCTGTCAGCTACTTTCTGATCTGTGATTTTGACTGCTCTAGTACCACACATAAGTGGAGCCATATAAAATTTGACCTTTCATGGCAGACTTGTTTCCCTTAGCATAATACCTTCAGAATGTTTCCCTGTTGTAGCATATATAAAATTTTCTATTTTAAGTCTGAAAAGTATTCCTGTTCTCAAAAAAATTATCAAAGCGTTATCTTCATTCACTCATTTACACTTCCAGCACATTTTTTCTATCATTCATTCATACATGAACACTTAGATCCACCATTTGATGAATGTGACTAATGCTTCAGTGTGCATGGATGCTTAACTAGCCAAGTCTCTGCTTTCATTTCTTGTGGATGTATACCCAGAAGTAGAATTGCTGTTTTGCATAGTAATTACTTATTTTTGCCTTGTCATTTTTTTTAATATGAGAGAAACAGAGGAAGAACTGTAGATAGATGGAGCATGAGTGGTGGTAGTTGTTACAGTAATTCAGCTCAAAATCTGGAAGGTCTATATTTTCAATCTTACTTTACAAATATGACCTTGGGTAATTGGCTTCTCTTGTTCAAACCTTTCTTAATCTATAAATGAATATAACAACATTTCACTAGATTTTAATATAATATTTAATTAATTCTTTGAGAATTTCATACATGCATACAATACATTTTGATCATAATCATCCCCCACTCTGCCTCCTAACTTCTCCCAGATCCATCACATCTTCCCCTCCCAATATCATGTCCTTTTTTTCTTTTTTATAACTGACTGAGTACAATTTTTACTTCCCATATATTCATGGGGTTGGGACCATCCACTGGATCTTAATCAACCTATCAGGAGCCGAACCCTTGAAGAAAATCGACTTTCCCTCCTTAGCAGAGATCAACTGTCAGTAGTTCTTCAGCTAGGGGTGGGTGCTCATGAGCCTCCCCAACTTCAACAAGAATGTTGGCTAGCTTCATCGGGTACAGATCTTATGCAGGTGACAACAGCTGCTATGAATTGGTGAGTGCAATAGTCTTGAAATGTCTAAAAGACAATATTTCACCCTGGTCCTCCCTGACCTCTGGCTCTTACCAACTTTCCACCTCCTCTTCCATAATGTTCCCTGAGCCTTTGGGGGAGAAGGTGTAATATAGATGTCCTATTTATCTCTGAGCACTCCACGAACACCTATTCTCTGCACTTTGATCAGTAATATTTCACTAGACTTTTATATTGAATTTTTACAATTTTCATACAATATATTTTGATGATATTTTTATCTCATCCCCTATCTACACCTTCCTTTATTGCTCCCACCCAATTTAATGTACTCTATTATATATATAATAAGGCCTATAGAGTCTAATTTCTGTCTCCAAATGTCCTTCACTGTGGGTCCATCATTGGAGCTTGGTTAACCTACCAAGAATCCCATGCTTGAAGAAACTGTCTCTGCCCCTCCCAGCAGCCATCTGTTGCCATAATTTCCTTAGGTGTTGGAGTTTCTTACCCGTTTCTTCATGACTGTGCTGGGATGTTTTTCTGGTTTGAGCTTGCATGGAACTTGTTTGTGCTGTTACTGTTGCTGTGAGTTCATATGAGTAACTGACCAGCTATCTGGAAAACTGTTTTCTTGTGGTCAGCCTCTGGCTCTTACAATCTTTCTGCCCCCTTTTTTCTCAATGATCCCTCAATCTTGGAAAGCAAAAGTTTGATACAGTTGTTCTATTCAAGGCTAAGCATCTGCAACCCCTTGTTCTCTGTACATTGGCCAGTTGTGGATTTCTGTGTTAATCACCCTCTATTATATAAGGAAACTTCTCTGATGAGAGTTAGAAAAACATTAATTTACAGGTATGACAAAAAGTCATTAAGAGTCAGTTTAATACAATAACTATTTAGTAGAAAACTAGTGTTAAGTTCTCTGCTATATCCTGTGACCTGTCCAGCCTCAGCTTCCTAAGCCTGATATCATTGTTAGGTATGGATTTCTTCCTAGGAAGCAGACCTTAAATCCAATTGAAAAGACTTCACTAGATTTTTGTGGGATTAAGTGACATTGTGTATATGATATTACTTAGTAACTTATAAAAATGTCTTGTCTTTTTCAGGCAGGGTCTTTCTATAGCCCTAGCTGGCTTGGAACGCACTATATAGACCAGGCTGGCCTCAATCTTATGGAGAACCTCCTGCCTCTGCTCCGAGTGCTGGAATTAGACATGCACCACCACTTCCACCTTTACTTATAACATGTTAATAAATATTTTTAGATGTTAAGGGTCAGCTGTCACAAAACAGCCCTTGAGCTAACTTTGATTATTGCCATTGTTAATAAATATTTAAGATTCCATCAAAATCATTCTCTTAGCATCTAAGTTAGTGTAGAGCTTCACCTACTACCACAGGCCGAATTAGTTGTAGTTGAAGAGCCATTCCAGGAGGTTAATTGTATTCTAGGTTCAATATCAATGATTACCTTATATCTTCAGGTTCATTTGGGAACCAATATTGTCTCAAAATGTGATTGTTTGTGTCTATAATCGCACCATTCAGGAGATGGAGGGAGGACTGAAAATTCAAGGCCAGCCTGAGCTACCTAGGGAACTGTTATGTCTTCCTACTCTGCACCAGAATACATATGAAAGTGCCTCATGTAAATCAAATCCTATATTACTTGTCTTGAATTTTTCCTTCTCTTCATTTTGTGTTTCCTATTAGTTCTTTTACTTCATTTAATTTATCAGTAAGGACATATTCTGACTAGATAATTAGAGGTGTTAGACATGATGCCATTGAAATATATTGTACATTATTGATATTATTGTGATTAAATTATTTAAGTAAATAAAACCAAAGGTTAAAATTCAATTATATATGTGTGTGTGTGTGTGTGTGTGTATGTGTGTGTGTGTGTGTGTGTGTGTTGCAAGTGGAATGATTGCCTTCCTCCTTTTCTTTACCTTTCTCTTTTCAGGACAAAGAGTAAAGCTTGTGATATAAAAATGGCATGTTTATTGTTTAAAAAATAAAAAGCTCTTTGAAATATTGTTTAAAAAGTATAACAAAGTAAATAAATACAAGAAATAACATATCTTTTAAAGAATTTTTCCTTTGTCTATGAATGTTCTTCATAAATATTATGTTAGCCATATATTTTAGCATAAGAATAACATCACTATTTGCTTAAATACAGATATTATTGATCTTGATTTTTTCCATTTTTGTTAATATAAGCAACTCTGGAATAAACATGTACATGAGGATTAATTTCAATCTTTTAGATATAATTCTAGAAGGAAAATTACTGATCGATGAATGTGAAAATGTTGAAGATTTGGCTTTCCTTTTAAGAAAAGTCATATTTGGGTTCTTTTTATTTTTAATCTTTTTTATTTTCTTTGTGTGTATTTCATATAGAACATCCCAAACAATCTTATTCATCTTTATATTCACATCCCAAATCGCGCCCTCCCATAGCCCCCCCGATTGGAGCCCATATACTGTCATCTCTGTATAACCACAGATTAAAGTGATCAGTGTATTTCTTTAAGAGTCCATGTGTATAGCTAAAGGTTACATAACAAGAAACAATGCCAGACAGGAGATACTTTCCATATTTGGGTTCTTAAAAGATTAATGACATATCTTGTGAACATATCTTTAGATATTCAATGCAACCATTACTATGAATCGACTGTATGTGATCTTTTAGTCTCCAGAATGTATGTCTTCTTTCTGTCTTCTATTTCTTGTGATAGAAATCAGGTCTGTATGAGCCCATTTCAAGCTACGTCAGACAAGTACTCATGTCCATCTTATTATGACTGCTACTAATTAGCATGTATCTTATATCACTTGATTATCTTGTGATGAGAACATTTAAAATACACTTAGCAATTTTCAAAATACATTGTTATTATATTATTAGTTATTAATGGAAAAAATTGAAAAATATTTCCAGCTTATCAAAGTTGTTTAAAAGACCAATTCCTGGGGCTGGAGAGATGGCTCAGTAGTTAAGAACAGTGGTTGTTCTTGCAGAAGACCCAAGTTTGAATCCCAGCACCCATATGGCAGCTAACAACTGTCTATAACTCCAGTTCCAGGGGATCCGACAGCCTCTTCTGACCTCCGTGGGCATTGCACAACATGGGTGCA